TAATGGAGAAAATTAAAAAACAGAAATCTGGGCAGGGGGGGCGGAGAGGAGAGAAGAGGGAGGGTTAGTGCCCGTGGGCAGGGAGCCCCCCCAGCAGTGCCCACTGCAATGCCAACCCAGCCACCCTGCCCCCCATGGGAACCCCAGCACTCCATGGGCACCCAATGGACAGTCAACAGGCACCCAATGGGCACTGTTAGACCTGACGGGCACCCAATGGGCACCCTGGCACCCAATGGGAACCCTCACACCCAGTGTGCACCCTTACACCCAATGAGCACCCAATGGGCACCCAACGGGCACCTTGGCATCCAACGGGAACTCAACAGGCACCCGATGGGCACCCTCACACCCAGTTTGCATCCAGTGAGCACCCAATGGACACCCTGACACCCAGTTCGCACCTTCAAACCCCTTATGCACCCCTACACCCAATGGCACCCAATGGACATTCTCAAACCCAGTGGGCATGCTGGCACCCTATGGACACCCAACAGGCACCCTTGCACCCAATGGGCACCCAACAGCCATCCTTTCACCTGATGGGCACCCAACAGGCACCCTTGCACCCAATGAGTGCCCAATGGGAACCATGGCACCCAACGGGCACCCAAGGAGCAGTGCTGCACCCAGTGGGTGCCCAAAGGGAACCCTGGCACTTAATGGGCACCCAACAGCCACCCTGGCACCTAATGGGCACCCAGTGGGCACTCTTGCACCCAACAACCATCCTTTCACTTGATAGGCACCCAATGGGAGTCTTTGCACCCAATGGGCACCCAACAGGAACCCTGGCACCCAATGGGCACCCAACAGGAACCCTGGCACCCAATGGGCACCCAACAGGCACCCTTGCACTCAAGGGTCGCCCATTGGGCTCCCTAGCAGCCATCTGTCAGGCACTCACTCAGAGCCGGAGGAGTCCTCGTCCACGGTGCCCGCCTTGATGCTCATGGCGATGGGGGTGACACCGCTGAGCTGCTCCTGCAGGGTCTGGCGGGGGCGGGGGGCGCCGGTGCCCCCCACCCGGCTGCCCTCGCTGCCCGAGGAGGTGGCGGTGCCCGTGGGAGGTGGCGGGGGGGGCCCGAGGCGCTGGGTGCTGCCCCGCTCGCTGATGGGGGGCAGGCACTTCTTCTTCAGGATGCCTGCGGGGTGGGGGGCATCACCCAAGGTTTGGGGGGGTCCCAGCCTCGAGGTGACCCCCCCACCCCACGGCACCCGCTTGGGTGCGTGGCACCTCATACCTTTGTGGGGGTGTGGCAGGGGCAGCAGCGGGGGGTCCCTAGGGAGCGCCTCGCCATTAAGGCGGGGGGGCTCACCCCGGGGGGGTCCCTCACCCCCCGCCGGCTCCACCCGCAGGGTCTCGCTGCCCCCGTGCCCCTCGCTCTCGCTGGCCGTAGTCATGAATTCCCCTGGCCAGTACGGCCGCCCTGGGGCCACCAGGCTGTCACCTGCGGGCAGAGGGGGGCTGCTGGGATGGGCAGGCTGAGAGACAACCCCCATCCCCACTGGGTGCCCCCCATCAGCACCCCAGCCATGGTGAGGGACACCCCCCCGCTGTGCCCAGTGGGTGCCCTCCCCACCCACACCCCAGACTGGGTGAGGGACCCCCATCCCCACTGGGTGCCCCCAGGCTGGCATTACCGGGGGCTGGGGGGGATAGGGAGGGCCCGGGCAAGGTGTCCCAGCCAGCGGGGGGGGCCTCATCCTCGCTCTCAGAGGAGTGCGTGGAGCCATAGGAGCCGCTCCGGTCATCCTCCAGCGACAGGTCACTGTCCGAGTCTGTGTCGTGCTCTGCGGGGAGGGAGCGACACACAGGTCAGGGGGTGCCCAGGGACACAACCACCTCCCTCCCCACTCGGGCTGAGGCCAGGCGCACTCGTTGCACACGTGGTGCTCCTACCTTCAGGCTGGTCCTGGGCGTCGAGGAAGAGCCCCCCTGGCTCGGCCAGCGCCCGCTGCCCTGGGCTGCCCGCCAGCCCCGAGTCCTCCCTGCCAGAGAGGGGAGACCTGCACCCATCGGCACCCATCGGCGCTCATCGGTGCCCACTGGTGCCCTGCCACCCCGTCACCTTGCCACATTGCCAACCTGCCATCCCACCACCCATCAGCATCCCACCACTGCGCCATCATGCCACCCACCCCACCGCTCCACCACCA